ACGACCCTGAAAGTTACTGAGTAGATGCATCCATGATCCGTGGAACTTGCGGAAGCCAAGCGCACCTGCCAGCGAAGCGTGGGTATTGGGAGGGGGGGTACCATATATATATATATACACACACATATATATATATATACATTGTGTGTATATATATATAGATATATCTATCTGTGTGTATATGTGATTCACTTATGTGTGGTTGTACATATATATATATATACATACATACGTACGTACATACATACATGCGACGTTGTGGTAGCCAAATGTTTAAGAACTTTACAGATGGCAAAATGACCCTGCATACAAAAACTACAACAGTGACGACTAAGAGCGATGCCACAACCACCATAGTGATTAGAACAAATGAATAAAACAAATGCAGCACGCCGACAACCCAGGGCCACCGCTAAGCGTCTTCTCCACTGCTGTCGCTCTCCTGCGGCACGAACATGGAGACCGGAATGTCGAAGGCCTCAGCCCAACAGGCTTGCTTTGGGTCCGAATCTTTGTCTCCAGGCTTCTGCAGATTCTTAAACCCTAAACCCTAAACCCTGAGGCTTTCCAGGAGAAGGGAAGCCCCACGAACCCGAAGGCACTGAGTTCCCTTAACGGAACCCAGTCGGAACCCAGGGCCCCGGCGCCGCTGGTCGGGTCGAAGTAGCAGCGTTTCACCTGCGCTCCAGGCAGGAAACTCCTGTGGAAGAACAGCCAAAGAAGACCTGCAGCAAACACCCCTGGTTATCTTTTATATATAGGTATGTATATGTATGTATATATATATATGTGTGTATATATATATATATATATTTATTTATTTATTTAGTTATGTATAAATATCTATATATATATGTATATATATATATGTATATGTATATGTATATATATATGTATATATATATATGTACATATATATAGATGTATATATACACGCCCATATGTGTGTATATATATATATGTATGTATATATGTGTGTAAGCATGTATGTATGTATACATACATGCATGCATGCATGCATGGATGGGTGGATGGATGTATGAATGTATTTATGTATTTATTTATGTATTATGTATGAACGCATGTAGGTATGTAGGTATGTATGTATGTATGCACGTAGGTATGTAGGTATGTATATAGGTATGTACGTATGTACGTATGCATGCATGTATTTATTTAATGTGTGTATATATATATATACATACATACATACATACATACATACATGCATGCACGCATGCACACATACATACATATGTACATACATACATACATACATACATACATACATACATACATAGATAGATACATAGATACATACATACATACATACATACATACATACATGCATACATGCATACATGCATAAATACATGCACACACCTCTATATATATATATATGTGTGTGTACATACATATATATATATGTGTGTGTATGTGTATATATACATATATATATATATATGTATATGGTCAGGGTTGGCGCTGCAGCTGGACGGTGGGGTGCTGCTGGGGATCGGCCAGGAGTCACAGCGAGGGCCGGGATCTTAAGCAAGCCCTGCGCAAGCCATAAACCCGTAGCCCGTGCTCCCGTTTTTGTTAGCCCTAACCTGTACTTTAAACCCTACACCCAACGCTAAACCCAGCCTAACTGCAGGCTCTAAGACTCTAAGCCTAAAGCAGAACACAACCGTCAACCCTTAACGAACCTACACCTCAAACCCTCCCTAAGCCCTTGTCGACTCGAAGCCGTATGCCTTTTAACCCTAAACCCAAACCTCAACAGCGTAAGCTAAACCCTAAACCCCAAAACCCCCACAATCACCCCACGGGGGCAAGAGGGGGCCCCTTACCCCACCCACAGACGGGGGGGGGGGCATCCTGGACCATGGGGCCTGACCCATCTAAATGTCGCTCTTTCGAAACCCCCACGCTGCAAAGCGGAGAGATGTAGACTCCCAAAGCACAGCAACGTACTGAAGCCAACCGAATCTGAGATCCGACTTCCTTCAGCTTCGGATGTCTTCGGGGGCCTCGGCGTTGCTCAGGTAGCGATCGAATCCGGCTCCTGCGATTGAAAATGCTCGAGGCTTAAGGCCCTTGGAATCCCGGCAGTCATGGCAATGGCTGGTATGATGCTCATCGTCATCAGTTGCCACTATCGCGGTGATATAGTTATAACACTAACAACAATAATAAAGAGAATCATACCATAATATTAATAATAACAATAATGACGACAGTCATACCCACGGGCAAATTCACACCCGGCTCCTTTGCCCAAGAGACGAGCGAAGAACTGGCAATGCCCAACCTCAACTGTGACGCAAACCCCTTCGCGGATTGAGGCAACCACCGAACAGGCTCAATGAAAGCTATTGCTGCGAACAGGTCATGACCTGGCCATTTGCTTGTCCCAGGCACGACCACGATCCGCGTCTCCGGCGTTTTCGCAAGCCAGTCCTGCGGCAAGAGATTTGGGTCACGCTGCAACGCCCTTCTTGTGTGTGAGGTCCGCAGAGTTCGAAGTGTCAAAGGGTTTTGGCAGATCAAGGTTCAAGGCCCGTGCGACTAGAACAGGTGAGTTCCCAGACCCCATTTCTGCCGGGACTTGCGCAGACAAACACTACCCACCACGCGGCCAAAAAGACTCCTGTGCTTCAAGCCCCTGAGCTGAACCCCGGAAGACTTCTCCCGGAGCATTTCGGAAGCAGCTCTCTCCCAACCCCCGGGCGCCTTGAAGCCTTGCACCCGTTCCTGGAACTGGGCCGGGCAGAGGCCCTCCTGGAGTGGCTTCCAGAAACGCCCAGCCCTGCCCTGTCTTCACGCTCCGAGGTCGCTGTGTCTGAGCCGTCTTGTTGTGGGAACTGCGGGGCAAGAGGAACTTCACGTCTCGGGCTGATTTCGACCCTTCGTACATCGTGAGAATCCGGAAGGTCCTGGCTCCTGAGGCTGTTTTGGGATCTGAACCTTTGCTTGGCCTTCCAACCCTTTCAAGATGAGTATGAACAGAAGCAGCTCGGGCATTGGGGTATCGGCAGACAATGCAGGGCTTAGGAATACAAAGTGCATCAGAGAGTGACCAGACCTCGCAATTGGGGGAGGGGGGTGGGGTGGGTCCTCGTGTGAGGGGCCCCTGATTTTCCTAGAGGTGGTGTTGGAAGTACTCGCACCTCAAGCCACACGAAACAGCACACAAACAAATCGGCAAGACTGTCTGGTGGCGTGTTCTAGATGGGACTCCGTTGAAGGTGCCTACATCCAAGCTGCGATCGTGATGACTAGACCCGATGCGAGGAGCCACCCCCGCCCGTACTCCCTGACACCCGTCGAGGTGCCATGGGTGTCCGCTCCACCAGTTGCGGCATCGCCTGAGCGTTGGGCTGTCTTCGAAACTATCTCTTCGAACTGTTCTGTTGCTGCGACGATGGCGACGGCGATGATGATTGCAGCTGCGAAGGATGATCGAGATTGATGCATCTTTTGTTCCAAGCAACAGTCAGAAGAGCACCGGGAAAGACAGTGATGAAACAAAGAAAGTGCAATGACGACTGTCATGAGGCCTGACCTCTGGGGCCCCTGCTTTGCTTGGCACCTGCATGGGTTCTCAGGGCTTCGGGCTCGGAGGCTCCTCAAAAAGCAGGCTTTGCCTCGCTTCCGAAGAGGACCTCCCGCGTGCGCACCGCCCGACGCCGCGGGCTGAAGACGATGAGCTGGGGATCCGCCTCGACGCAAAAGCTGGGGCTGAATTGTGAGACGAGACGGACCCTGGCCTTCTGAAGGAAGCTGCAGTCGGAAAGCTGGGCCTGAACCGACTCTCCCGGAACCCTCCAAGGCTTGGGGCTTTCAGGAGGGCCTCGGTAAGGCGCCGGAACCCTCGATATCCGGGTCGGCTTGTAGCTTTCGGGGCTCGGTTTGGGGCTTGGGCTTCACGATTTAGCGGGTGAGTGGCTATGGTTTCTAGGCTCCTAGGCTTCTGGCTCAGAGCAGTTGGGCTTCTAAGGGTGATCGTGGCCTCTGCGTTATTGGCTCGTGAGGACCTTTCGGGCTTGTTGGGTCCTTCTAGTGACCTTAAAGTACCGTCGCGGCAACCTTAAAGTATCGTAATAGTAATCTTGAAGTACCCTTGCAGCACCCTTCCAGTAACCTTATGTGGGTTCAGGCTTCTGAGTGGCCGATTGTCTGCTCCCACCTGGACGTCCTTGAGCTGCCTCAGCGCAGGCATTTTCACTCCGGAGGCCCGCTTTGGGTCAGCCGCACGATTGCGATGAGAAGGGTGTAGAGGAAGATCGTCGTAGTGATAGTGATCATGGTGATGATGGTGATGATGACGATGGCGATGCTGCTGTTGATCATGGTGGTGATGTTCTGGAGCGTGGCCACAACAGACAAAGACAAGACAGGCCCTAAGAGTTACACAGTCCAGCTACCTCAACATTCGCGGCAGTACCACTGCTCATCAGCACGTGCCACCATCACCGTCACAGCAGCAAGCACAAGCAGATGTCCCAAAACCTCAAGATTCGCCGCTTTGAAGCTCTGGGGCCTGGGGTGTCCCTGCATTCTGGCGCTTGTCTGAACTCTGAGCCTGAAATCAACACTCCAAGGCCTCAGCCCTGAATCCAGCCAAACCCCTGACTTCAAACTCCGAATCCCAAAAGCCCGAAAGCCAAGCAGCCGCTCCCCTCGCATGGACAGTGGCCTCAGTCTCGTTCGCGCCACAGAACACCATAAAAGGCATCCTAGTTAACAGCTGAACCCTCCGACCTTATGGGCCGGAGGGCTTAGATGGATGCGCAAGCAGACATCCTGGACGCAGAATTCTCCAGCCTTGTTGGGTAGTGTTTGGCGTTTCAGCTTCGGTCTACGAAGTCTACGGATCAGGCTTCGTATTAGATCATTAGGGTGTGCTGTCCTGTCAAAGCCGAGCTCCTGCCTGTGATCAAAGAAAAGCCACTTAGTGATCGGCCTCGCCCTTTGCGACCCTGGCTTCAAGCATCTTCGAAGCGCCGGGGCCCGAACGTGTCGACGTCAAAGCACAGAAGCCTCAGCGAGGAGCAGACCTTGGCGCATGGACTCCGGCTCTTGCAGTATCTGTTGGTCTACTTCAACTACTGCGGAAAGCATCAGCCAAGCCCAGCGACATCATCGCAAGCAGGCGCTTTCCAAGTTCGTAGCTGACCTGTCTTCGGCTTGGGCAAGCAGAGCGTGTGCAAGTGCAGGTTGCTTCCCAACAAGACTCCCGATTCCAATCATGAGAATCGAGATTGGCTGCGGTGTTGAGTTTGGGGGCATTTGGGCCAGCGAACTCGTAACCACAACCCCCACTTGCTGCGGGCAAGTTGCCGAAGGCCCGGTCCAAGGCGTGCACACGAACCTCGACACTCGTCGTTGGCAACAATCAGAAACTTCGGAGGTCAGAAGGTCGGAGCTTTTCCAGGCTCCAACTCGGCCCAAAAAGAGAGTCGCGCTGCATTTCTTGAACCGCGGGGCGTTCTCCATGGACTCGGCATGCCGCACCTCAGGTCGCTGAAGCGGGATCGGAGAGCCATGCAAGCTCCCTCTCTCAAAGGAGCTCTGTTTTTGCGTGCTTTCAGGCCTTTCTGGCCCCGAGGCTCTGACCAGGTACACGGTTTTCAGCTCCTCCGAGGGCTTCACCAGTGGGCTCCTCGAGCTCGACACGGACCTGAGGACGCCGAAGTGCAGAAGAGAACGGCGTCCCCTGCAGCCATCAATAAAGCCGCTGGGTGTTCTGCTGACTGCTAGCATGCTCCCGCGCGACGAAGATCCGTGAAGATGACGAGCTTCATCGTCACTACGACATGTTGTGTTGACCTCCTATTCATTTGCCGTACTAGGTGGGTCCGTAGTCGTAGCACTGACGGAGCAAGGACAGAGAAGAAACCCGAAACAAATCCGGCCTGGCATGGCTCGGGGCGCAGAGCTCCGTGTAACACCCGGGCCCGGGGTCCATGGCAAGGCACTCGGCGCTTAGCTTCGTACGGCTCTGGGCTGCTTTTGTTGGTGTCTAAGAGGGCTTCTTGACTTTGTGAGTTTGGGGCTGTGGGCTGCTGGTTCAAGTTTGTCGGAGTTCGGTGCAGGCACTGAGGCTGCAGCACATGACTCCTGGGGAACATCACCCCAAGTGGGCCGCTTCGGTGCTCGGCAAACGTCGTGTATTTCCGAGAAAAACTTCCTTGACCCAATCTGTTGAGCCACAAAGAACTTCCCCATAAACGATGGCCTTCATTTTGGCGTCTAGGGCTTTGTTTCTCGTTACCCAAGACGCTGCTGCTGGTAATTAGTTACACTTTGCGCGGTTGAGACAGATGAATGCCAACTCTCATTGCCAACATGCATTCAATAGCACTAGTGGCGAAAAGCAAACACCGAACGCAAAGAACCGTATAAACCTGTACAATTACTGGCTGATGATGATGATGATGATGGTGATGATGACATTGAAAGATGGAGACCACCCATAGTAGGAGCATATCCACATGGCGGATCCGGTTACCCCAACGCCGAGGGCAACGACTTAGGCCCACCTCGAAGAGGGCATCGATTTTCTCAAAAAGGTTCTCATCGTCCATGATCTGGGTTCGAAGATGTGGAAGCTATCAACGCTATGACCTCTTGCTGGGATTGAGATTCATTAGATGCTGCCTGCAAACTTACTGGGGAAGGTTTGGGTGCAGGGTTTTGGGCTTCAGCTCTGAACTTTGGGAACCGGAATGGAGAGCAGCTGTCACAAAAGGCCTCCATGTGCAAACCTCATTGCGGCCTGATCGAATAGTAATGCTGCTCAGGGGGTGGCGGGGGGGGGGGGGGGCGAAGGTCCGTCAACTTCGCGTTGAGGGGGCATTCTCAACCGCTTAAACACCCTGCAGCCTCGGCAATGCCACATGGTCCCCATCCTTGGAGACCGGGGCCGGAGCAGAGGACTGAGTGCCGGACCCGGCTGCTGTCAACCCCGGGCATCAGGAACTCGTCCACGGCCACGTTGTCTCGGCAAGGCTCGGGGCTCGGCGGGGTCCCAGGACTTGAACGAGACGCGAAGAGCGGGAACGACAAGAATTGCCCCTGGTGCTACCGAACCAGGCAGGAGCCCAAGTGGATGGTGGGCAACATGAGCAAGCGGGAGTCAACCAGTGGCAGCAGCCGCCCTGTAGCAGTAAGAAGCGGCAGCAGTAGCATTAGCAGTAGTCGTCGTGGTAGTCGTAGTCGCAGTCGTAGTCTAGTAGCAGCAGCCGTCACTATCTCCTCGAGGTAGCCTGAACCCTAAATCCTCAACCCTGGGCGCCCTGAGACTGCTGCTCTGCATAGCGGCCACGAGCTCCAGCTTGGAAATGGAGCCGCTGCCATCCGCATCCTCACATCGTAGCTTCGTTTGCGGCATTCGGATGTCGGGTGTAGGGGCTTCAGGGTTCAAGGGTGGGTTTCAGAGCTTTGGGCTTTGGGCCTTTCGGGTTAACGCATATCTCGGGCTTAGTAAATCTATCCGATCTTGGGCCGATGGCGTCAACCGAATTCTCCAAGTGCCTTTGAATGCTTCAGCAGCTTCGCTGCTGGGGCCCCTGCGATGAGGTTGAAGATCTCCTGCATACGGTTCCTGAAGGCGTGATTCGCGCGCTCAAATCCCCGGGCCCCAGCCCTAAGCCCTAAACCGTTTTCCTGGACCCTGTACCGGGTTCTCCTAGATTCCTAGATCCAAAGCTCCTGAACCAAAGATCTTCTGCCAATCAACTCCCCAAGCAAATTACCCCAGACGCATCGCGGCAGGGCTGCAGGGCTGGGTTCCGGGGGTCGAAAACTGCCGGTCATTTGGGGTGTCGAAAACGGAAGAGTCCGAGTTGGAAAGCTGAGGCCAGCCACGACCTGGGCGTCTTGTCTGTCTTCGCCTGAGGAGACTTCCCCCCCCCCGCTTTGGAGACGCTGGGGATCTGCCCCGGCAGGCCTTCCGGACATGCTTGCAGAAGGACTCATAGTCGATGCCCTTCTTGCCGGCCGAGATCTCCTTCAGGGGCCATTAAATTCAAGCAACTGCGGCCTGATTCAATCCTAGAGCAGTAGCCACAGCTCCAAAGAATCTCGCCCCAATCCGCTTGAGAACTCCGCCGCTGGCAGAAAGCCCATGCCCCGGTCTCCACTACAGTCACTAAACCATTAAGGGCGTTTGCCCCTTCCGCCTCGAAGATGCTGTGCAGCTCGTCGAAGCTCTTCTCATCGCTGAGTAGCGAGTCTCCGTCAATCTCGGGAAACGCAACGCCCAGGACTAACATGCTACTGGCTGCTACCGGCAGAACGGCAGAACAAAACAGTAAAATGACCGAAATCCACCAGCAACATACTAAGTGGGATCCACTTGTAAACCCATTTCTGCAGATTGGTCTGGAGCAGGCAAGCTCAAAGGCGTACTATGACAACGGCAATTCCACTGGCTACAGTCGGGGTGACAATGGTCTTCAAAGAAAGGATGCCACGGAGGTAGAGCCTCTGTCAGAAATGTCCGAAGCTTCGCGTTCAGGTATACAGAAAAACGCCGGCGAACTACGGCGGGATGGAGGATGGGCCCAACCGGTCCCTGGAACTGGTCCCGAAACCCTCATTCCTCTCCCTCCCAGGCCCCCCCACCCCCAGGAGTTGCGCGATGCTCTTGTCTTGGCTCACCGCCTTGGTCGAAGTCTCAGAAGGAGGAGGTTCAGGGTTCAGGGGTCAGGGTTTAGAGTTTAGGGTTCAGGGAAAGTAGTTCCGACTAGTGGCTTCTGTTGACCGTTACTTCATCGTTACAATGATGTCATTAGGAACCCCCGAAATAGTATAGGTAATTAGGTAATTGTTTGATTTTGGTATAATATCTGAGCCCGGGATGCTTGAAAAGGACCGAAAGGAAGGACCGGGTTGGCGCTCTGGAACATTGCAACAAGAAGCCTAGTATAGCTGGTGGCCAGGGGTTCTGTCAGTCAGAAATTGGGCAGAGACTTGGGAGCTAGTTCCCGGAGGCTAAGCCCCCCTGCAGCAATGAGCTCCAGCTTGGACACCACACCTGGCCGATTGCGTTGAATTGCACCCTAAACCCTAAACCCGAAACCTAAACCCTAAAGCCCTAAAGCTTCGCACTGACGTTTCAGACTGCTGATTCGCATGGTCTAGTTCAGGACTTACGCTGTCTGAAGGGTGCATTTATGTTTGCCCATGTTCGGTGACATCGTACAGACATGCGCCAGAAGAGATAACATGTTAGCACATGCCGATGTATGCAGCGGATCTGAGAGTCAGTCATGATAGAAGGAGAGAATGAAAAACCCCAAAACACCCCCAAAAAGCTACGTAGATTCTTAGATCCTCAAAAACCATGAGGTGCTCGCCGTTGGAGTTCTTGTCCAGCTTGGCGTAGATGGACCTCAGCTCCAGGTCGGAGACTGCCGGGTCCGCTTCCTGGCAACTTGGGCTGCGCAAACAGCTTCGGGAACTACAGTCATCCTTCATCATCACATTCATCATCCTTCATCATCATCATCATCAACAGCATCATCATCATCATCGTCACCGTCATTCTGGCGATGATGGTCTAATCAGTCTAATCATCGTCATTACCGTCATCATCGTCATCATCATCATCATCACCATCACCACCATCATTATCATCACCATCACCATCATCATCACCATCACCATCATCATCAGCAGTAGCATCGCCATCATTGTTACCATCACCATGGTCATCATCATCATCATCATCATGAGAATAAGAACACCAAGGATTGCAGCAAAATTGACAATGAATCAATGGTAGACATAAAAATAGCGGCGACAACAAAAGAAGCTGGTCGAGGCGGTTTTCAATTCCGATACGAGAACACCAGGCGGCGATACCATGTCTCTTGTCTACATAGGTTATGTACCCGCATGTAAAAAAATCTCGAGAAATTAACGGATTGTCGATCTAAGTATATATGTAACCGGACACACCTAGCTCTTCAATGCCCAGATGTAAGCCTGCATGCATGGATGCATGGGTATGAATGCAAGTGGTGTGTGTGTGTGTGTTTGTTTTGTGTGTGTGTGTGTGCATGCGTGCCTGAATGTGTACGTACGTACGTGTACGTGAGGATGCATGAATGGATGCTGGGTTAGGGGTTGGGGCAGGGGTATGGGTGACGGGTAGGGGGATGCCTTTGGCTAGTGGTAGAGGCAGACTTGTTGTTGGAACAGGAAGGTATTTAGGTATCGGGAGGTATGAATGTATGCATGTGTGTATATATATATATACATATGTATAGATGTGTGTATACACACACACATATATATATATGCATAGGGATACAGAACAGAAGCATGAAAAATATAAATGCGCACGGATGTATCGTACATGCATATATACATACATACATACATACATACATACATACATACATACATACATGCATGCATACATACATACATGCATGCATGCATGCATGCATGCATGCATGCATCTATGCATCCGTGAATTGCATTGCATT